ACAAGCCTCTAAGGAAGTATGGGGGCATGCTTCCCCAGAAAATATCTAAATTGAGAGGTTCAGAAATGTTATTTTATGCATTCTCTTGAGGGCATTTCCTAACAAAGATAATTTTACATGTACAACAGGTCAACCTGCCAAGAATATTACGGGTTTACAATTTTTAATCTAAAGCACTAAGATAACTGAAAACATACACCACACCCTCACCCCATCCCCTCTCTCTCGCTATATCCCCTCTCTCTAGCTACACTGTACAGCCTTGACTGTCCTGACTCAGGGAGACAAACTGATGTAGCCGGTTTTTTAGCCGGTGACCAGCACTTAATGAGAGCCCCAAAACCCCCAGTCAAAAGTTTTTTGTTTTGTATTCCCACACCCTTGGAGCTTGATACTTTCCTTTAACATATATGGCTTTTCAGAGCCTTGTACACTTGTAATTTCTACTGACCTTTCATGAGTTACTCGTACTTGTACATGAAAAGTTGGTAGATCACAATGAGGAAAATATCCATTCCCTTTACCTCTTTGTACAGCTAATGGTAGATCGTGCATTCTCTTGTAAGCCTGGGTATCAATCTCGTCTCTTAGTTTCTGTACTCTTTCCCTTTCTTTCACTAAGGCATCCTGTGTAGAAAGTCTGTCACTCTCCATCCTTCCTAGTAAACTTATGACCTCTTCAATCACATCATATTCCTTGGGGACAGGCATCTCAGCAGATTTGGGTGCAGACTTTGGAGTGGAAAGCTTACTGATAACTGTTCTAGCACTTCTTCCCCGAATCTGTGGGACATAAGGGGCTTTTATGTTAAACATGCCATTAGTAAGTTCCCTTGAAAATGGAGTAGGTCCCTAAAAGAAGCTGACAGCATGGTCTAATCAAGAAAGGCTATGGTCTGACACTGTTTGAGTTGGGTAGTATGGCACTAAATTGCTTTGTAAACATGAGTCACAGTAATTTAACCTTTTCACTTCCAGGATTGCCAAAGTTGAAAGTTTAAAAATAATACCACATACTTCATTTTGCAAAATGTAAAAAAAAAAACAAAAAAAAACAAAAAAAAAAAACAATGTAGAAAGTATCCTATGACATGAAAATAAAATAATTATCTACCAAATATGAATTACATGTCTATGCACAGTATTTACGTCTATTTTTTCAATTGGTTATTAAAATTAAGCTTTTTGCGATATCCTTCTATCTAACTTGCACTGAACGTTACAAACTTACAGAGAAACCCATACTGCACCTTTCAATATAAACAGGACTACTGTGTGTTTAATCAATGGTTTTGTGTATTGTTGGCATCAGTCATCTTAGTGGACCTCTCAAAAAGCAAACATTTACTCCAATGGGTTCAAAGGACATGTCTGTGGGTTGTGACTGGTAGATTTAATTCCTTTTAATTCTTTTCTCATGGTTCATTGGTACTCGTAATAATAATTATCATGGCTGATGGAAGCCAAAATCCTGATGATTGGTTAGGTTTTGAACTTCAGTCAACATGAATGTTAGAAACATTGTAGAATGTTGTGTTGCTACCATAAAGGAGTTTCCCTTGAGTTTTCCAGCTGTACAAGTACCAATGCAATCTATTAAGTACTTATATCATTCTGAGGTATATATAAACATTTAAATTAATGTTTTTGATGCTGATTGTTACCTCTAATGTAGCCCCACTGGCTGAAGACTCTAACCTTGGCTCAAATGATACACCTTCCTCTTCGATGTTACCAAGCGATGCTGAACTAAGAAGCCAGCGGATTCGTCTGCCATGGCTACTAGCTGAAGACATGTGCGAGGAATCTTCAGGGACACCTTGACTTTCTACCACCTCTTCTTTATCCTTAAACTCCAAGTCTGCAGAGAAGTGTGACAGTATAACAATGTTACATTGTTATAAGGATAACAATGTTACATTGTTATAAGGCTGGATCAAATAACAGCAAGAGTTGATACAGTAGTGTAATAATAGCTTTCTTCAAATCTCAATATTCCTAGATAAGTCAGGAAAGTCGCCTTCCTCTTTTCTAACTTATCTGGAAAAGATCACAGCAACTCTGCTTGCAGGGTACAGTTTAAATCAATATAAACTCTGATGGCATTATTGATTACATTTTTGTTTTATTGGAACTTTTTATTATTGTATGACAATATTGTAATTTTAAGTAGAAGTGGTTTAATTTTAATAACAAACACTGTAAAGAGCCATTGAGCTCTGGAAATGAGCGCTACATATATAAATTCATGCATATTAGAAACATTATCATTATTATCATTATCATTATCATTATCATTATCATTATCATTATCATTATCATTATTATTATTGTTGTTACTATTATTATTTAGCCAGCCACACAAGCTTAAAGCTACATGTACATGCACATTAAAGCTAGCTTACCTGAAGTCATACTAGATCTTTGCTTGCTAAATCTTTCCTCCTCCTCAAGAAATTCAGTCATGTAAAATGAATCAATTAAGTCTTGTAACTGATAAAGATGAGAAACTGCCTTCCTTACACATGAAGAAGTACTCTTAACAAGCTCGCAGCTTCTTCGGCGCCAAGATCTGTTTCGAAATTGTGGCCATCCCTCAGGGAGGGAAGGAACAATGTCTGGAAAATGAAGTAAACCATCAATCAGTGTTAACTACATGTACCACTGACAACAATAATATTGATTACTAAATAAAATACGGAAAAAAATAATATTGATTGCTCTGTGTTATCTACATGTTTTTTGGCAGCTTAGTGAAGGTATAGCGACATACTGTTGGTATTAGGTAGGTAAGTACATGAACAGACACTTGAACCAGTTTGTGCTACCACCTCTTGTAAGTTATACACAACCACATTTCTAGTATACCAAAATTGTGCCTGTCACATCACAATACATGTAGTCTGAAATTAATGTTGGTGAATACCTCTCAGAGGACACTGCCACCATATGTACATTTAGGGCTGACAGTTTGAAGTTTTATATTGTTGTTATATGTACTGTACCTCTGTACCTCTGGTTGGTGAACACTTCATATGATCCTAACATGCACTAATTGTTGGGTATTACCCTCAAAACCCTGAACTTCAGGTTAAATAAGTGTTTTAGTTACCCACTGGCACAGCCCNGGGGGGGAGGGGGTACTGCTATATATGGGCTATATAGGTATATGTGGCTGTGAAGGGTATGGTTTTCAAGCAGTTTACTCTAGCATAGGGTATATAAATCAGAGCGTTTGGGTCTAGAATAGGGTATCATTTTTCATGAAACTGACCAGTTGGTTGAAGATTTTATCTAGACTAAGGAAACCAGGAATTGCCACTCAAATAGATAAAAAAAGAAATTGGCAAGTTTAACTTTTTACAACTGAGCCTCAACAGCGTCAATAGATGACTATCATAAAGTACTACTGGATATTATTAACTGTCAAAAATTGGGATTCAGATGGAAATCGGTGGTTTTAATACTGGTTACTTTACTATAGGGTAGCAAAATTCAGCTAAACTAGCTCTGGTATAGATTAAGGGTTCCAGGGTCCCAGCAGCACATCACAACCCAGAAATTCCTAAAGTACCCCCCTCTCCCGCCACTTCCAGGTTGCACAGCATGCACAAAAGTTCCTTTAGAGATTTCAAGGCTTATACAAATGTCAATGGTTTCTTCCTGAGACTGACTCCTTTGTCAATCAAGGACTTTTCAACATGAAGCAATCTTTATTTTTATCACAAGGGCAGGCGTTTCATTAAGGGCCAGGCACTGGGCAAATTGACCAGCTGTGATGATGATTTTGCCCACCTGGTTTAACCACCTAGAGGAAAGTGTTTCTAACAAAGAATTTCAGCTCAAAAAGTTTTGCCCACCTGTGAAAAACTCCTGCTAAAAACATTAATGAAACCCCTGCAAGGGGTAGAGGGAATCTTCCACAAAGGCCCCTCCATGATCAGCCAGGGAGTCAATCACACAGGCAGATGATGACATATGTTTACCGAACTCTCTCACCATGGGTATTTTGGCTCGACTACTCGCCAAAATGCAACCAATGGCTCGACCATTAACTTGATTTGTATGCCACTGGAGCATAACAAAAAGGTACCATTAGGTACGTTTATAAATATACTGCCCATACTGTAATACATGTACCTTTCTCTTCCTGTTCCAAGTTCTTATCATGACCCTCCGCTGAAACCATCTCATTTTCCACAGGCACAAGATCTTGCCCACTCTCTTGTGAAATTAAACTTCTGCCATCCGAAAAAGGCACTATTGCCAAACCAGAGCCGCCACTCAGGCCACTAACTTCAGACCTTGAGTCATCGAAAACTAAGGGCACATCCAACTTTACCAGCTGAATATCACTCTCCGAATAACGAGCCAGAACCCCATCTTTTGTAGTGCTGCCATCCTCAGTTGCAGCAAATTTGGCTTTCAGATCTGTCTCGCTGAATGCAGACCGCCCTGTGAGTGATTTCTTGGCTTTTGTAGGACTCCTGTTGTTATTTTGACCGGACTCAGTCGCAGATGCTACCTCATTACCAACTTCACCTTTCCGAGCGTCCACTCCATAGTTCCCCTTTTTATCCACGGTTGGCATTCCTATATCTTTTTAAGTTCCGTTTACAATACTTTAGTGCACTTCTAACGATCAGAAACGATGATTGTAATGGCGCAAAATGACCTCAAGGCCGCCATCTTGATCGTGAAGTGAAATCGACTTTCAGATTGCTAAGCGACAATGTACAACAGCATGAAGCCGAGGCTGACCTGACGTCATCACAATTTTCCTTGTTTTGTCCGTTTCGTCCAAGATGGGGGGCCATCATTCCCAATTCACGGAAGAAGAACTTAAAGATTACCAGGTGAAATAACCGTTTCTAGTCATATTAGATACTTCTGCTGTTTCGGGTTTTCCCCATAGTGTTATTTCTGTATTTTGGGGAGTTTTCATGGCGGTGTTAATTTGCAATTTGAATGTGTTTATATGGTTATAGGAACTGACGTATTTTACACAAAAGGAAATCTTACAGTAAGTTTATTGCTGTTTTCTTTTATTTTTTGGGGAAGCCATGTAGTGTTACAGTGCTTGTAGTAATTTTATTAGGTTGATGTTTTGTGTGCGTCAACTGCACATAATTCTAATGGTTAACGGGCTAGTTTTCGAAACATAAGCACCATAAGCTTATACACAAAATGTAGCTTAGTACAAACTTGACAATTTTGGAAGTGGAAAACCAGCTAAGCAGATTCTGAATTTTGTGAGGCATTCTGATATAAAGATGACTTAAACAGAGTACCTAGGGTATCTAGGCAGTGATAGTTTGTCACAGGAATCCAGGCAATGAATACATACGTATATTAAATGTGGTGTCATGTTATGGCGTTTTTACATGTAAATTTAATTATTTTCGTGTCTACAAATGTATACGTTGGGCAACCACATAATTTGCCTTGAAGCTCTGAATGTAATGCAAAACATAGTTTGCCAAGATCTTTGAAGATCTGAGAGGATCCTTAGAGAGATCTTCACAAGATCTTTCGTTTAAGAACTTTACAAGATCATGCACAGATTTTTAACAATCCTCCAAAGGGTAACAGCCAGTTTTGCTACCTGTCAAGTTTGCTACGTTCAGGCTCACTACATGTTCATTACACACAATGTCCAGCTCGCTACCTGTTTAATTTGCATTCACTACTATCAATAAGCTAAAACTTTGTAAAACTAAACTGTATCAAAGTCAGTACAACTGTACACTACTAGCTGACGCTTCTAAATTTCTAGGTGTAAGAATTAACATGCATGTAGAGTATTCCTCATTCTTTTATGCACTGCTGAGCCAAACTCAGTTAGCTGAGGTAGTGAAAACTTGACCTGTGGGTACAGCGAACATGTAGAGAACTCGAACATAGTGAACTGAAAAGGTGAAACCAGCCTAAAACCCTCCAATGATCCGTATCTTCAAAGATGTATAGAAGGTCTTTAAAGATCTTGTAATATCCTCAGAGATTCTGCAGCGTTTTTCACCAGGGCAGGGGTTTTATTAAGGGCCAGCCACCGGGCAAATTGACCTGTTGTGTGGACAATTTTGCCTTCCTGGTTAGACCATCTAGTGGAAAATTTCTGTCACCTGAGGTGTCTGGGCTCCGCTAGATCACAGCCTTGGGCTGCTAAAACTCGTCCCAACTGCCAAAGCAACCTCTCTACTGAATGGCCAGTTAGTCAATGACTGACAAATGGTGCACACAAAACCACATTTTTTTATTGTCAAAGGTCACCAAACTTGATCTGTACCATGTGCCGTTGATCTCTGTTTCTGTTAGTTTCTGTTTGATTGATACAGTTTGATTTATATGTGCTAAAATAAGCATTTTTTGAATAAAAATGTTGTTCCCTTTCAAAAAAAAACAAAAAACAGGTGTCACATTACACCCCTACCTCCCCATAACGGCCACCTCTCTACAATGGCCCCTTTCCTCTGTCCCCAAGGTGGCTGTTGTGGAGAGGTTCGACTGTAGTTTTGATTTAGTCTGTGACTGGTACTCAGTTATATAGGTAAGACAGATCCAATCCTTGGACTTTAAACATGGACAGTCAGAACTTCAT